TCGATCTGTAGGCTTAACTAGGTTCACGTCTATCAAGATACATATGTAATTGTATAATAATACAGCATGAGTATTATACATTTATATAAGATATAAATCAGTCCATAATAGTGGACATGATTCTCCTAATGTTCACAGATGGGGAATGTTCATGACAATTGCTGGCTCTATCAGTCCACTAGGAATGACATTACAAAGTATCTCAGTTTGGCTAGGTTAAACAACAGAAACTGATCTCTCACAGTTCAGGAGATTAAAGTCCAAGATGGAGGTGTTGGGTAGCCTAAGCATCTCTCCTTGACTTGAAGGCAGCCACCTCCTACCCTTAGTATGGTCTATTCTCCATGTATGTTTCTGTGTGTCCAGATTTACTCCTTTTACAGGGACACGATTCAAACTGGATTAGAGCCCACCTTAATGGCCTTATTTGCATTCAACATCTCTATAAACATCTTACCTCCAAATATAATCTTATTCTTAAGTACTGGAGCTTGCAGCTGCAATATGTAAACTTGGAGGGTAAAAGACACAATTTAGTCCATACAAGGGCCATGTACCCTGATTTGTCTGGGAAACCTATTATAAGCTCACATGTCATATTCATAGTTTTTCTCAAAACCTGGCACAGTTTGAAGGCTCAATTCTGGGCTCACTATGATAGCTGCAGTATTATTGAAATATCTCAAGGTCAGGGGCAAATTAAACCCTTGTCTGCTCACCAAATCATTCTTCCTGGAGAAGGCTACAGGTTTGGTGACTACATGGACAATAGCCAGAATGCAAGACTGGCCATAGCTGCATGTGGCTTCTTGTCTGTTTCACAAGGAAGCATAACTGGTTTGGATGAACAGGGACAAACTGGACTTCATCTCCTTTTCATCACTCCTTATTTTAGGTTTTGTTGATTGCATTTTATTGTCATTGTTTTGCTCCCAAATCACAAACAGATGTAAATGCCTTGGTGGAAGAAGGTGCCCAGAATGCCAGTCATGGAGGACACTCACTCACAGTGTGAATGAGCACTGGGCTCCTGGCATGATCTAATCTTACTCCTTCTGAAAGGCACATCACGATATAGCTTCCATCACCTGTCAAGCTTTCCCGTATTGCCTGGAGTTAGGCTCCTGTCCTGTAGACCACATGTCAGGGCCTCGCTGGGACTACTGCTATATCATCTGACAGATCGTAGACCATAGATTGCTGGGCTCTCCATCTGCCAGGAGCTAGCTCAGGCACTTCTCGGTTCATCAGGTGAAGAGGTAAAGGTGGTACCCGGCATGTCAACTCATGGATTTCATCTGGGGTAGGAGGGAGGACAAGCCAAAGGAGGTCTACAGATCCCATGGGTGGGCCAAACTTTGATGGCTTGATTTAGTCTGCCCCGTTTATCATAATAAAAATGAGAATAATATAATGGCTTCCATAAGCAAATGCTTACCATGTGCTGGGCTTTGTGCCAGAACTATAAAGCCATTTTAATCCAACCATGCAAACTCATGGTTTGCCTCACATGCAGTGAGCAGCAAGATTGAGTCAGCCCTGCCTATCCCTCTGCAGCAATTGCTGTCACTGTGCCTACTCCAATCTGTTCTGCAACCATCATTAGAGGAAGCTTCCCTAACATACATATTAATGTGAGGAATATGAATATTAATGTGATGTCTGTGGTAAATTAAATCTGCAAAGATGACTCACTCTTGCCTATAGTAAAGTAATGCAGTATGCTTCCCAGCGAATTCTTTTCTTTAGTTAGTGAGGTAAACTTCCTAAGGCAAGCCCTCACTATGGCCCAGGCTGGTCCCCAGCTCTCAGTCTTCCTGCCTCAGACTCCTGAGTTCTAGGTTGATGAGTATATGTCACCAGTCTTCAACCTGAAAATTTCTTCATACAAAACGTTAATAAGTACTTTTACCTGACTTCTCTGTGAACAAAGGGAAGCTGTGCCCATTTGTGTTGGAGATGCCAGGCTGTCAGGCTCTTTCTTGTATAACTTCTCCGAGATTATAAGGTACCTCTGTCATGTCTGAATTTCACAAGAATTTAGAAAATAGTTGTGTTTCCCCACTAAAACTCTCAAATTCTCTTTCTGACAAACTCATGAATTCTGGTCACCTGACAACAGCCTCAAATCCTGGCATCTGGTCACCCCAAGCTTCCTTTGAGATTGCCATGATCTGCTTAATCATCTTTCCTTTCTTATTCAGCAAAAACCTTCTTTCTTCAAACAAGTCATGAGAACTCATCTCTGAACAGCCTTTCTCATACTTTGGGGTAAACTCAGGCTCTGCATCAATGTCTAATCCTCGTCATACATGAAAGCCTACCCTTGGTTCTCAGTTGCCTATGTCCCCTTCTGGGGTGGGGGTTATTCAAGCTGCACAGTGAGCACCTGACCCAGCCTCTGGTTTTGTACGGTGCATAGGTTAACAACAAAACCCCTGCTCCATGACATTTCTCCAGAACCACATAGTTCTGTGTCTTCTACTTATTTTGTTGGTAGGATTTCAAACTAAATATTAGTTTTTATTTCCATTTTAATGCCTCCTTTATCACTTTGACTTTGCTATCGTCCCAGGTGTCCTAGGACAACCTGGGAGCCCACATAGTTCCGGACAAATCAGGAATATTGGTCATTCTCGATTGTGCACAGCCCAAACCCAGCTTAAGGTTTTCTATCTGAAATCTTTGTCTCTGCCTGAAATGTCCTCTTCTAACGGGAGGCCTCTCAAGGCCAAGTTCAAGTGTGAAACTCTTCATTAGACATTCCCTGCACGTATTCCTGATGAAATATCTCCTAATGAAGATAGTGAAGTAACCTACTGACCCACAATGCGTTTAGCATAACTGCCTCTTCCCTGGAACTCTTTCTGAAAACTCTTTCACATTTTCATGCAAGAAATAGTGTATTTTGATCACACACCGTTATCTAGTGACCCTCATATTCCCTGACACTCCAAACAAGCCAAAAGCAAATCTGCTATCTACTTTCCTGCCTTTTTGTATGTGAGCCACTGTGCTTCATTAAGGTTGCTTGACCGAACATGAGTGGGGGATACTTGCAAGATAATTTACCAATTGCTACACTACTGAGGAATGTGACTCCCCTTCTTGGTTGCCAGGCAACCATTAAATGTCTGTAGCTTTTCAGAGAGGGATGGACTCTCCTGAATCTATATCCCATCAGGTGCAATAGCCATATCATGTGCGGAAAGTAACTTTTCATGGCACTCCTCCGCATCATCTAGCTCTTACATTCTTTCTTCCACCTCTTCCACACACTGCTAGGCATACGCTGCCTAAAAGATGGTATTCTAGTATACAAGATCCACCCTAAGATGATCTTTGATAACAATCCACTCCAGCAGCCTGCATAGTCAGACATTCAACAGCATCCTATGACCAATTGTGGTCCTGGTCCTCAGGTTCATGAAAGGAAACCTGATGCCCACTCCCCCATCGCCCACACCCCCCCAAGAGTGTAGTGGACAACCTGGAGCCAAATGCATGTATTCTGCTGTAATTAAACAACCCCACTTGATAACACTGAGTCTTCAGCCAGAGGAACACTGGACTTCATTGCACAATGCCGACTTTCTAGGAGCCATTGGTTACCTACTTACCTCAGGCTTTGCTGATTTATGCGGCCGGGCATTTATATTGGTACAGAATGCCTCCCCAGAGAGCCATCATGCTAGGTCATTCAGAATAGTGATCATTATATACCCTGCTCTGGAAATTGCAGAGGCTCTATTTGTAAAATGAATATAAAGTCAAAGAGAAATTTGGACAAATCAGATTCACCAAAGTAGGCCACCCTGACTTGAGCTGACAATAAGGTGTGAGGGAAGATACTAGGAGATTAACACCCTTTCAGGGTGACCCAGCTGTTCCCTTGAAGGTGATAACATGCAATCAGACACAGGATGGGGAACAAATAGGTAGCTAGGGGGTGGGGATGGTGGGGAGATTCTAAACTGAAATATTCCTACTCACTTTCAAAAATTATATCCAAGAAAAAAAAATTGAGTCACATTACTTTCTGGCCTAAAGGAACTGAAAGGAAGGAAAACTTCTCCACTGAGCACATTCCTTCTGCCACACTGCTGATGTTGATTTTCAGGAATCTGCTGGAGTCTGGGATGCTCCCTAGCTAATGAGAGAACGTCTTTATACACAGTCACCGTCATTGCTTTTCACAACACCAAATCAGTATAAATTTACCCACTTGGTATGTTTCTTATTTTAATACATGCTATATAAAGTCATGCATATATCTGAGATTTATAGACATACCATTTATCACAGCAGTAAATGTATTCGTGCATATATATGCCATATAATTGATAGATACCAATTCCTAACCACGCTTTGTGTCATTCCCAAGGGAAGCATCGTATTTGGGGAAAGTTGTGGTAACTGCATTACTCACCCCAACCTTAGAGTGATCAGTTCCCGTATGGTCACAGAATTGAGCTAGAATACAATGCTCAAGCATCTGGCTTCACACAAGCCAGCTAAGCAACGCGTTACTAGGAAGGACTGGCACTTGCAGCCTCTAACAATATCTTCTGGATACATGAAGATCTGCTGACCACAATAGGCTGCTGTTTAATGTACACAGTGTAATGAAGGTAGAATCCACTGTGAGACAAGTGCCTTCCGCAGGCTGAGCAGCACTGTGCGATTTAAAATTTGGCCTCAGGGTTCTTCTGATTTTCAACATCTCTATGAAAACACTTCAGTTTGAAAGCCCCACCTACATAAGTGGAGTCACCTGTTAGATTAGACTTACCCTGCTCAACACACACACACACACACACACACACACACACACACACACGCTGAGCTGTGCATTATTCTTCAGGCAGCCTGTGGAACAAAAGACAGTTCCCGGTGGTTAAACATAACTTCTCCAAACAGACAATGTGGAAGCCTAGATTTTCATTAATTTAATAACCAGTGACAAATCAAAGAGAATGTGAGATAAAAAACGGGCTTTTATTGTGGGAAGAAGAGCAATTTTAAGGTGCCACCAGCATAGAGTATGGATGACGATGGATTCCCTAAGAGGCTCGTGTCAGTGTCCTCATCAGCACATGGACAGATTAGACCATGTTTATCTTAAGAATCCCAAACCCTCTTAGTCTATCACTCTAGAAAGAACACAGTACAGGAATAGAGGAACTGGTATTGCCACGGGTATTATTTGTCCATCTAGAGACTCAGAGCTAGAGAATTTCAATGTTAACTAAAATTAGGAATTGTGCTGGTATACTAAAGTGATGGAAAAAAAGTCTCTCTAAGGTCCAAGACCTCATTAGTCCTCGAAATGTGGTTAGGTTTTCAATTCTGGGCATGATTTTCCTCCTCATGAGCAGGCCCCAAGTCCAATTAGAAAGCTGTTGGTTGCCACCAAGATGAGTGTCGCTATTGTATCCTTAAGAGTATCATGCCATGCTGCTCATTGCTGTGGCTCACAGGCTTCACAGGTGGGTAGGATTACTGATCGGTCCCCGCTTTTGGCACCTTATATGATAACTATGAACGCTAGTCTCAGGGATTGAGATTTCAGGTCAGGCCCAGCTCAGCTCCAGAGTCCTCCGTCTATAGTGCATGCTGTCTTCGGTAACAGGGTCTTATCTTCAACCTTTGAGAGACAACCAAAGACAACAGAGATAGCCAATATTGTTCCGGTGGTCTCTCAGATCCCTCTGACCAACAACTAGAAAGAGAAATTTTTATGCCTATTATGGAGGATATCCATTACATATATTATATATTACATATATAATATACAGATATATATTATAGTATGTATAGTCTATAGTAATATACATTTATACTATATAAATATAATATAATACATAATAATTTATATAGTATATAAATATACTATATACTATATATATACTATATATAGTATAAATGTATATAAGCCTATGTACTTATATATAATATAAAAATAATTTGATTATACATATTATCAAGATATATATGTATATATATATAGATAGATAATCAAGTTATATATATATGTGTGTGTACATGTATTATATGTAATTTAGGTAAATAAAAAAATTATTCTTTATGGCTTTTTAATGTCCTTGGTGCTATTTCTTTCTTCCTCCTTCTGTATTGACCTCCCTCACCCTTTCTCTAGTTAAACTCCAGCCCTGTTTTTCCCATTCCCCACCTTCTATAACTTGTATCCTACTATTCTCCTCTCTAATAATGAAAGGCCTGTAAGGAAGAACTAGCAGTTCCCACGATGATTCTTTATCCAACAAGTGCTCACTCCTGAAATTACATACACGCAAAGCAACACTAACAGACTCGGAAATTTATATTTAGACATCTATGCATTTATACAAAATGTGCAATAATAACAACTACAGAAAAAGAGGAATGGGGGGGGTCACTGAAGGTGTGGGAGGGAGGAAAGGGAAGGAGGAAATAATGTAATCACGTTTTAATTAAAATTATAAATGTATAATTATTTTTTAAGAATTTAATTATACACACATTAAATGTGTATCAGAAAATAGAAACTAACGTCAATCATTCTTTTCTAAATAAAATTCCATGTCCTAAAATCCTAGTTCCCCCAAATAACCAAACTGCACATTGTGGTATTCATCTTTTGGAATATGTCCCATACAAGCATCTAAGCACATATAGCGTAGAGTGTTGGTTTTGCCAGGTGGTCTAAAATTTAGGTACTATACTTCAGTTCTGTAATATGTCACACAGCGGTTGAGAGCTGTTAATTGGTAATCATGCACAGTAGGCCAATAATTACAAATGCGAACTCCTCTCCCCTCTCAACACTCTGCTTCTAAGGTAGTTTTGTACAGCATACAGGGGATGTTAAAGATGCTCTCATGGTATATGTTGATTGTGAACTTGGCTGGAGCTGAAATCAACTAAGAAACATGCATCCAGGATGGCCCATGAGCACATTTCCAGTAAGGATCAACCAATGGGGATACCCTATTCCTGTGTGGGAAGAAGGTTCCAGTGTGGGAGCGCGCTGCTGGCTTTTCCCAACTTAGTTCTTTGCTAGTGAGTGGATTTGGTTTGCTGCTCCTGCCACAGCTGCTGCCATCTTTCACTGCCATCAAAACCCAGGCCTTTTTATCTTCCAAACCCGTGACTCAACATCCACAACTGTCTAGGCCTCTAGGCCCTCAGCACCAAAGTGGGGCTATTGCAGCATTCAGCCGTGGGCACTGAGAGGCGATCACATTCTGAGCCTCTCCAGTCCAGATGGGTGGTCACCATCAGACTACCCAACTCATATCACCTAACACCATCTAATCTTTTGTACTACATATAAAGGATGTTGTCTCTGTTCCACTAGAGAACCCTGACAACTGCAGATTCTCACTCTAGCACTCTTTACCATCATATAATAAAATTACACCAAACCCAGCGCCCAAAGTTCAAAGCCCCAATAGGTACATGTTAAGGTGAACTCATGTGATGACTAAAGATGAAGTCTTTCATGTGACATCCTGGAATTCACTGAGGACTAGATAAGACTGTAGACTCGTATGTGAGACACCCTCTTGAACCACCATAGTCAGAGAGTTCACCACAATGCTTTCTTTAAAGAGAACAATAAAGCCGCTGGGATGGCACAGCCTAATCTGGGCAGCTGATAATCTCAGCCTCTGTATGCTCCCCAGCATCTGGGAATGGCAGGTTAGCATTTCCCTCCTGCTGGTGCTGATGGCAACCTGCAACTGTCACAGTCCCTACTTGCTCTCTGCTCCATCTATCAAAGCCTTCACCCCTCTCTTACCAAGACCAGACATATTCTTGAAGCTAAAAAAGTTAGCAACCTGTTTGGTGGCCTTCACGCGCTCTGAAGTCAGCAGCTGTCCTTGCTCTGGGGACTGGATGGGATCATGGCAACATAAAGGACAGAAGGCAGAGGCAGCAGGCAGAGGGAGGCAAGGCATGGGCGCGCACAGGCACATTCAGGGGAGAGAAAAAGGGTCACAGACAGAAAGCAAACTAAGAGACAGGGCTGGCCACTGGAGAAGGGAATGCAACCAAGGTTGAATAAATAATTGCAGAAAGCAAAAATGGAGATTTCTCTCCCCCCACTCTCTCTTTCTCTTACATTCTGTGTGTGTATGTTCTAACCCTTTGATGGGCAAAGAGAGAGAGAGAAGGAAGCCCAGATAGAACCACCAGAAGCTGAGCTGTTCACTATTAACAAAGGAAAACTTTCTCTTTTTCTTTCTTTATAACCTATTACTTTCTGCTTCTCCCTATCCATTTCTATCATTTTCCTCCTATGTGCCTAGTCTAGATAGCCCTGACAAAGGCTTGGAGGGTGGTTATCAAGACACGAAACTGGGGGAGAAAGGAAATGATTTGAACTTGGACTGAAAATGCAAACAGTGCCTGCCTCATGGGGCCTCACACTGGTCATCAGCTCATTGACCCCACCCCCAAAAGTGGAGAGCTGCAGACTGAGCGTCTGACTGATCCAGGGCTGTAAGTCCACCATCTTCTGCTGGCACAGTCATTGTGACTCTGCTGCATACATCGTGTTTAGGAGCTGTTTCACTCCTTTCAAACCTGTCCTCCTCTGGCGCCCCCCTCCCTCAGTCCATCTACTGACTAATTTTGGTCTCTAACGGATCCTCTTTGACTTTCTGCCACACTCAATAGTCTAGTACATTCATTCACTCCCTTCTTTAGGAGGAAGCAGATTTTACCAACATCTCTCCACTGCCTGCCTTCTCCCCACTTCTGTGTCCTGTGGCTTAAGGGTTCTTTCACCATGCTTACTATTATAAGAGGGGGGAGGGGGCTAGGCTTGTACCATGAACAAAATAAGAAAAATCCCAGTGCTAAGCTTTGCATCTCAAAGATGGTGGAGCAAATGGTTACAACTTCCTTCTTGGGAAGATATTTTATCATTAGGTAAATTGTTAAGAACTTTATTTTTATTTTCTTAATTAGGTGTATGCGTGTAGCTGTGTGGGGATATGCAAATTTGAGAACCCAAGGAGGCCAGAAAAGGGGTTTTAGATCCCCTGGAGCTGTATTGAGCTAGTTGTGAGTTACCTGGTATGGGTGCTGAAGGTTGAACTCAGGTCTTCTAATGGCTGAGAAATTTTCCAGCCCCCTTGAGTAAATTTACAAGAATCTAAGATGTGCAAAATTTGATGAGATTCCACAAGTGAAAATGCTGCAACCAAAGCTGCTGTAGGGCAAGGAGATGGGTCCCTGGGCTCGAATTGAAACAGGAAAGAAAGAATTTAAAAGTAAGAATGTTCCCCCCCTTAAATTCTGCAACACTACCAAAATATAGGAGACTCATCAAAATGGTCAGGATTTAAGAGAAGAACGCTGCTGATCCCCTGTGTATATGAAGCTGAAAACTAAAACAAGCTAGCCTTGGGCCAAAATAAAAGCCTCGCTTCTGTCAGGCACAGAGAAGAGCTCTTTGAAACACAAGTTGTTTCAGTTTGAGGCCATCTAATAAACTATAACAGTTCTCTCTTTCACAGACGTAAAATTTCGCTAAGATTTCAAACCAGTGTCTTATCTGGATATCTGTGCATCTGGTTTCCTAGCCAGTTCCCTCAGCTTCCATGTGCATTGTGGCTCAGTCAAGCAGTTGGGTTTAGAAATTCTGAGTTTATTATAAGAAGATCCCAACCTCCAACTAATTATCCCTTTGCAAAAACTGAGTTAAAGAGTCAAGGGGTTTGTCCCCCCCACAGCCCCACCATGTCTGCTTTAGAGAGCTTGGGATGCCACATTTGAAATGCACTATTCTTGCAGGTTTCTGGCTGTGAAGACCACACAGTTTTGACAGTAGGAGTCATATCTTTTCCTTTGTGTGAGTGTGTTTTGTTTATGTATACTTTCACAGAATTTCAAACACAGTAATCACTCAATAAATGTAAAAAGAAGGACCCAGAAATACTCCTTCTCTGAGAATGCACCCTGCAGACATCCTGATACAAGATCAAAAGCAGATTATTTATGGTGGATTTCTTTTAGCATTAAAAATTAAGATCCACATGAGTGCCCATCAACAGAGAAATGGTGAAATAAATAGACGGGCCTTGAAAACTATGATTCATTACATCCATCAAGCCTATATAATTCACATACAAGTTAATTATATAACCAGAAAAATTAGAAAATAAAATGAGAAAGTACATCAATGATAATGGTATATGATAAAGGTTAAGAAATGAAAGTTCCAGAAAGCTTGTGCAGTATGCTCATATTTTTTTAAACAAATACATTGACACTACATTTGTACTCTAATACGTCTTTGTCTATAGTTCAGGATGTCTGAAAGGTTATACAGTACTTTCTCATTGTTTTCATGGGCGAATGTCTATAGGAAGAGCTGAAGCAAGGGAAAGGGGAGTTTTATCTCATGTGTATTTCTCTATATTATTATTCTTCACATGGATGTATATATCTTTATAATTAACCATTAAAATAACTATTTCCTATGTATGACCAAAATTTCAATGAAGGAAGTCTACATAAATAAGTTTCTAGTTCTATATGCCTAGTCTGGTTATGAAGATGTGATGACAAAATCACTCATACCCTGGGAAAGGGAAGGACTCATTACAAAGCAAGGAATATATTTGCTGAAAG